ATGAACCATGAGATCAGGACCTGAGCCGAAATCAAGAGCTGGACGCTCAACCAACTGAGCGACCCAGCCCCTGATTAGGTTATTTAGAGAGAGATGTGGGAGGAGATTAAAAAAAAAAAAAAAAAAAAAAAAAAAAAAGCCATACTCCACTGTGGAGTCTCCTATTCCTCCCCTGTAGCCTGTGCCTGCAGGTAGCTGGAGAATAGCACCAGCCCCTTGGGCTGCTCTCACTTTCATGACCCCTACCTTCAGTGGCACTTTAAAGCTGCCTGATGGTCCTACATTAGTCCTATTTTCTCTTGCTGATGTGCTCCCCTGGTCATGTCTAAAACAAAATCCCCTAATTAGGCACTGGATTTTATTCCTCCATTACTCCACAAATCTTTCCTCTCTTAAATCAATTTTTATTTCTCCTCTGGATCATCTCCGGATCATACAAACATACTGCTATTTTGATCATCTTAAAAAATCTTTCTCTTGACCCTACTCTCCAACTCCATTTCCCATTTGTTTTTCCCTATAAAACTCCTTTAAAGAGTGCCTGTCTCCAATTTCTCTCTTGATTTTCCCTTTCTTTGTAAACATTTCTTTCTGAAGTGTAATGTACATAGGGAAAGTAAATAATCACTTAAGTACTCTTCACCACAACTGCTTTTGTCAAGGTCATTAGGTTGAACAGTCCTTTAGACAAATCTCATTCCTTGCCTTTGCAACATTTGATTCATGATGATCGCCTCTTCAGTGGACAAATTTGTTTTACGTGACTTCCAGAATCCCATTTACTTTTTTCTTTTCCTCTTACCTCCTTGGTCTGCTTCTGTTTGTGTGCTGGCATCTCTTCTATTTCAACCATCTGTGGGATGCCCCCGAGCCTAGTCCTTAGCCGCAAGCATTCCTTTTGATTGAATATCTCTAGGTTCATGATTTGAAAATACCATTTCTATACCAGTGACTCCCAAATATTTATCTTTGTTTTAAAATTTTTTTAAAATATTTATTCATTTGTGAGAGACAGACAGACAGACAGACAGAGCATAAGCAGGGGAAGAGCAGAGAGAGAGGAAGACACAGAATCTGAAACAGGCTCTAGGCTCTGAGCTGTTAGCACAGATCCCAATGCGGGGTTCGAACCCACCATCCATGAGATCATGACGGGAGCTGAAGTCAGACGCTTAACTGACTGAGCCACCCTGGCACCCCCCAAATACTTATCTTTATTCTAGATCTCTCTCCTGAACTTCAACAGCCTCCACCTGAAACCCAACACTTTCAAAATCCAGACTATTTCCTCCCAAATCTGTGTCACATGCAGCTTCCCTATCTCAGGTGGTGGCACTTCCAGTTCTTCCAGTTGTTTCAGGCCAAAATCCCCTGGAGTCATGTTTAAGCTCCTGCACCTCATATCCTGTAGAAAATCCTGGTTGCTCTACTGTGTAAACATCCAGAGCCTGAACTGCCCACTACCATCCCTTCCCATCTTCTGACATACCGCACTCCTGACAGGTCTTCATGCTTCTCAACCCAGCAGCTACAGAGTCCTTATCAAAGGTAAGCCTGGTCTTGTCACTTCTATGCACCTGCAGTGGTGCTCCTTCTCGGGTAGAGTAAACGGCTGGGAATTCATGTCTGGTCCCTGAACATTGTTGCCCATTGAACCTTAACCCTCAACTTGAGATGTATCTTTCAAGGGGTCACAAATTTGGCACTAAAGAGTAGTGATTCATGGAGGTTATGCAGGTCAAATTAAACAAACAAACAAACAAACCACTATGCTGTTTGGGAGCCTTTACGACACAATAGAGGCTGTCATAGGAGATGGACTTGCTAGAAAATTCAGTCCTACAAAATTATACTTAATCAACATCTCAGAGCCTTGGTTTTATGTCCCTGTTCTGGCTCTTGCTCATTATTTATTCCACTTAAAACTCCCTCTGCTCCTTCCCCCATTTTCCAATGATGAATCTCACATGTCACTTTTTAAGGGATTTTTCTGCCACTCCCTGCATCACCTCCCCACCCTCCCCTGTCAATTAATGATCTCCCTCCATACCTTCATGCTTCCATTACTTTATTTAATCAATGCTAATTGGCTCCCTTACAATGTTTCAGGAGTATAACAGAGAAAAAAATGGAGGAGCTCTATCTTAGAGGAGTTTATGGTCTAGAATTGAGTACTTTTCAAGACCATAGCCATGTGTGGCTATTTAAATTTAAGTTAATTAAATAAAATTAAGTTAATTATTTTTAACTTCTAAGTTGTACTAGTTGCATTTCAAGTGCTCAGTAGTCAGATGTGGCTAACATCTACTATATTGCACAACATCCATATGCTATAATAACTCCGTCATCATGGAAAGTTCTAATGAACAGTACAAGGGAAAGGAAGGATGGACAACGCACACACAATCAAGGGCAACAAGGTAAGAAATGCTGCACAGAGAACTGAAATAGTGTAATAGAGTGATGGGTTGGCTACTTTAGACAGAGGGACCAGAAGAATGTCTGAGAAGGTGACAGTTAAACAAGGGCCCAAAAGACAAAGAGAAATCTGAAACTGGTGGCGTAAAGGAATGGAGATCTAGGCAGAGGGTACCACTAGGGAAAAAGTCCTAATATGGGGATACATTTGAAAGAACCCCAAATGTCTGGAGCCCTGTGGCAGGGGAGAGAGACATAGAAGAAATTTGAGAGGTAGGCAGGATCCAGATAACTGGGGGGGATTTTGTAAATCTGGGTAAGACGTTAGGGTGTTTTCTTGCTTTTTGTTGTTTTCTGAGAGAGCCGTGGGAACATCGTGAGGGGAAGAGTGACACAATCTGATTATATATTTACCAATTACATCATTCTGCCTGATTTTATTAGTTGCTTACTTACCTGTCTCTCCACCTGATTGCACAACCCTGGGTTTTTTCATTCTTAGTATATTAAGTCATGCGGCATTAGCCTCAATATATTGATAGCAAATGTGGTATGATTGAATTAAATTAGAAAAATCCTTATCATTGACCTTCTGGGCTTTGACTAAGTCTCGGAGTATGACAAAACTAGTCATAAAATATTTTGCCTCCCAAATAAATATAAGGCACGACCTACTTCTTTGTGAGGCATTTCAGAATGTGTTCCCCCACTTTTGCTGGTGGTCAACGTGGGGTCAATAGTGTTCCCTTTAAGTGGAGAATAAGAGGAGGATGGGAATCCAGAAAGGAGATTTTCCCTTGTGAGAACTCATCTTGTTACCCAATTGAATTCAAGTGTGTGGCATCGTAAAGCTAGGAGGACTAATAAAGTTCATATAATCCAATTGTTGGATGGAAGAGGTGAGTTTCAGCAAATAGGCCAGGGGGACAGCCAGTGTGAAGGCCCAGTGACAGGAAAGAGCTTGTATTCATGAAGGTGGAGTAGAGTCTAAGACAGGGGCCCCCTCCAGACACAGAAGCACCCCACACCCCCAACAAGGCTGGCGCAGGAGCAGGCTGGAGAGGGCACACTCTAAGGGGACTGGGTGCTACAGGCCATTGCTGGCCATCTAATTGTATTTCATAACAAAGCAGAAAAACTGAGTTCTCATGTGGGCTCTCTAGATTTCTAAATGGTGGCCATTAATTAAAAATGAATTTTTTTAAGGATTAGTTTTTAACGTAATCTCTATGCCTACGTGGGGTTTGAAACTCACCACCCCAAGATCAAGAGTTGCATGCTCTACCAACTGAGCCAGCCAGGTGCCCCCAAGAAAAGAATTTTTGAACACTGTGGTACAAAGCACTTCTGTGGGCCAAATATAGTCTTTAGGCCACCAGTTTGTAGTATTAGGCTTTAGGTCTTTTTTCCAAGCACAGAGACTGCTGGAGTCAGGAGTTCACATTCCCGAGAAGCACAGGACCCATTGCCACTGTTTTCATGTCTCCGTGAAGCCTGTGATGGGCTGCAAGTAGCCTAGAAATGGAGCATCAGTACCCTCCTGAGGGAAGTTACTGAATCTTTAGATCAGAGGACAGTTAATGAAGTACTAGGCAGGCTGACACATACTTGTATGGCTTAATGATTAAGTGCAAAAGTCGGAAGAGCTTGTCTGGAACCTTGGCTCACTTAACATCTACAAACCTCAGTTTCCTCTTCTATGAAATGAGGTTAATAGCAGGACCTGCCGAAGGAGGTCTTTGAGGACTAAGTGGATGTGTGTGTTTGGCATAGAGCCCACCTCACAGTAAGTTTTCCGAAAACCTTGGTTAGCATTAATGCATATTTACATTTCATTTTCAAAGGTCTCCCATATCGCTTTTGCTAACAATTCTTTGAGGGAGACACAGCAAGTATTTTTAGTGCTATGTTACAAATGAGGAAGTCAAGGCTTGGAAGAGCTCAGTAACTCATGGAGATACCCAGCTTTGCAAGTGACAGAGCTGGGATCTAAACCCAAGTCTGGTCCAGAATCTACTTCCTGAAATACTTCCTGACATCACTCAGTGAGATGTGGTCTGAGTCATTGCTTCCTGTAACATGGTCAGGCACGGTGATTTACATTTTTGATTAATTCTTGCCACTGGTAAACTTGACAGTATAACTAAGGCTGGGGACTGATCATTGTAGCCACAGAGCAGGGAGTTCTCTGCACTCATTAAAGGGCCAGTTGACTCATCTCCGAGGCCAAGGGTAAGTGAAGACCAGTCTTGGTTGTGATGGTCCCCTCACTGAGCCTGACTCTGGTTTCCTTTCTGTTTGCCCCTGTATCCCCTGTGTCAGCATCAGGAGTCAGTTTGGACTCTGTGGGGAAGGAGCTGGGAAACAAGGGGCTGACCTGAGGACAGCTTTGCCTGTCTATTGGAAGGTGCAGGATGGTCACACTAGAGATAACTGATATGTGAAGCTGTTGTGCATGGTCTGTCCTCACTGACGGGGCAGGCTCATGTGATCCACCCAGTCAGGGTGAAAGGAGAAGTTGCAGTCTGAGAATTAAGACTTGTTCCGAGACCATCTGGTGAGGGGCACACCTACCAGTCTGCTTTCTCTTTCCTTCAGGCCAATACCATCATGCAGCCTTGGGTAGCCATCTTCAGCCCCATACTACTTCTGACAGGTAAGCGAACAGGTGGGCCGGGGTCTGGAAGCCCTGAAGATTGGGACACGTAGGAGACGTGTGAGTGTGGTGTAGGAAGATGGATGTGCTTGGGCTTTGGTGAAAGGTAATGGGTCAGTTAGTGGCCAAAGAACCAGGCTAAATCTTACGCAAAAGAAATTGCTTAAATGCTATGACTTACAAAATCCATGGGTGAGTGAGCCAGACCCAATGCAGAACTGTGTATCATATCTTGTCATTTGTGTTTAAACAATAAAAGGGATGAGTGGACAGCAGTGTCAGCATGGACTACTCAAGTGTATGTAGGATATAGTAACAGTGTTGCCATGAGCAGGAGGGGATGGGGAGAAGAAGCTGGGATTAGATGGAAAGGGAACCAGTCCTCTATTGAACCATCCTGTGTCATTTGATTTTTTAAAAATGCTGTGCAACTATTTCTTTTAAAAGACTCTTAAATACAGAGAACAAACTGAGGGTTGATGGGGGGAGTGGAGGACAGGAGAAAATGGGTGATGGGCACTGAGGAGGGCACGTGTTGGGATGAGCACTGGGTGTTGTATGTAAGCGAGGAATCACGGGAATCTACCCCCCCAAATCAAGAGGACACTATATACACTGTATATTAACCAACCTAAAAATAAATTATATTAAAAAAAAAACACAACAGAATAAAAGCATCCTTCAAAAGTTAAAAATAAATAAATAAAATAAACAAATAAATAAATAAAATGCTTTATAGGGTTTGAAGACATGATTATACTTAGTCATGAAATAGAGTATTCCTTTTAAATCAGAATTGGAATAAGCATGTTTATAAGTGATAAGAGAGTTTAGTGATATAACTGAATGTCAACTCAATGTATAGGGGCGCTCTGGTGGCTCAGTGGGTTGAGTGGCCGACTCTTGATTTCTGCACAGGTCATTATCTCAGGGTTCGTGGGATTGAGCACCATATCAGATTCCCAGAGTCTGCTTGGGATTCTCTTTCTCCATCTCTCTGCATGCACGCATGTGCACTCTCTCTCAAAATGAAATAAATAAACATTTTAAAAAAATAAAAAAATAAAAAATATAAAAAATATTTTATTTCAAAACACTCCATGAGATAGCAAAGTTAGGAATAGACATAATGCATACATTTTAAAAACAATAATCTCCAGAAGTCAGATTATGAAGGAAAGTTCGTTTATTATAACTTATATAACTTGATTTTTATAATTAGCATGTATTATATTTATAATCTAAAAATGATACTAGGCAAAACTAAATATTCTAAGAATTCAGTGTCTTTTTCTTATTTTATATAACCATGAACATTTTATTCCCAGAGCATTTCCCAAAGTCATAGCCAAAATTGTAAATGTGATTGGTTGGTGAATTTCAGATTTCTTTTCATGGCCACCTTGTCTGAATTTGGCACGATAGGGCTTTTATGCCACTGCCCCAGGAGAGACTTCTTGGTTTTGTTTTTTAAGTGTCATAATTTAGTACTTGGTTGAGTGTTTTCCAACTGTCTGTTTTCACAGGGGAAGTGGGCCTCGCTCAGTTGTGGGGCTGCTAACAACATGTGAGAAGGGGTCCCTATTGGATTTTTTTAGACTGATCTTAAAGCCCATGATAAACCTCAGCTCCTCCTAGAAGTATTAGAAACCCATTTCCTAAATTTTTAAAAAATTTTTATTTATTTATTTTCAGAGAGAGAGAGAGAGATCATGGAGGAGGGGTGGAGAAAGAGGGATAGAGAGAAAATCCCAAGCAGACTCCATGCTGTGTGGAACCCCATGTGGGGCTCAAACTCACAAACTTTGAGATCATGACCCGAGCAGAAATCAAGAGTCAGACGCGTAACTGACTGAGCCACCCAGGCACCCCAGTCAATAATACTTTAAACAAAACATTAGTTCTGCTTTTATTTTATTTTTTTTAGCGTTTATTTATTTTGAGATAGAGAGAGTGGGGGGAGGGGGCAGGGGCAGAGAGAGAGGGAGAGAGAGAATCCCAAGCAGGCTCCACGCTATCAGAGCAGAGCCTGACACGGGGCTGAAACTCACAAACTGTGAGATAATGACCTGACCCGAAATCAAGAGTCAGACACTTAACCCACTGAGGTAGGTAGGTGCCCCAAGCTCTGCTTTTCTTATAAGAGAGGTGCTGTGAGGGGACATCACTTGCAATAGAAGTTTAAAAAGCTGCAATAAAAATTAAAACTTTAAATGCAATAGAATTTTTCAAACATATTTCAATTGAGACAGCAAATGAATCTGGGGAAGTGGAAAAGCCACATGTATGTCAAACACAGGATGAAATACATACTCATGTATTACTGGAGTGTCATTTGGTTTGAACCTTTTGGAAAGAAATTTGGTCATGTTCATCAAGAGAGTGAAAGTATTCCTGGTAATTTCTCTCTTTGACATCTGTCCTGTTAGAAAATAATCCTTAATACAGAAAAAAAGCTTTAATTATATCTTATCTACAAATATCATATAAATAATGCTTTTAAGAAAATGTTAACATAAAAAAAAATTTTTTAATGTTTATTTTTGAGACAGAGAGAGACAGAGCATGAACAGGGGAGGGTCAGAGACAGAGGGAGACACAGAATCCAAAGCAGGCTCCAGGCTCTGAGCTGTCAGCACAGAGCCGGATGCAGGGGGCTTGAACTCACAAACCCACAAACTGTGAGATCCTGACCTGATCCGGAAGTCAGACACTTAACCGACTGAGCCACCCAGGCGCCCCAAGAATATGTTAACATAAAAAAGGAGTATGTTAACATAAAAATGCTTACAATGAATTTTTTTTAATTGAAGATACAAATCCATATGATTGCAAATGAAATAAACTACATTGAAAAGAAAACAGTGAAAATAAATATAAAACTGAAATATTGAGGCCTTATACTCTTCTTTCTCTTTCCTTACAGATGCTGTAGTGTCTCACAAACAAGTGAATGGAGTGGTAGGCCTTCCTGCCACGCTGTCCTGCGCTTACTCGACAGCTAAGGGAGTCACCACCATGTGCTGGGGCAGAGGGGCATGTCCTGTGTCCCAGTGCTCAGATGTAATCATCTGGACTAATGGATCCCACGTCACTTTTCGGAAGCACCCACGTTATAAGCTAAAGGGAAACCTTTTAGAAGGGAATGTGTCTTTGACCATAGAGAACGTGGCTCAGACTGACAGTGGCATATACTGTTGTCGTGTTGAACACAGCGGGTGGTTCAATGACATGAAACTCACCCTGTCATTAGAGATAAAGCCAGGTGAGCTTGTTTTCCTTCTTCCTTTGATCGCTTCATGTGAGTTGGCTGAGATGTTGACTCTTTGGTAGTGTTTTTCTCCTTTAAGAGGGCAAGAGGAGGTTCCTACAGTCTTGTTTTTCAGCAACTGTTGGAAAATAGAATGACTTTTATTTGTATAAAACGAAGTCTTAGACCAATCTTGATTCACGACGGTAAGCTAGAGGATCTTCCCAGTCAGCAAACTGTTCCCTAAAGCAGTGCTTCAAAAATGCTAGTTGGTTCATGAAAAAGCATTCACTGTTCCACTGTGAAATATAGTAAACATTTTTATCAAGCTGAATTTATTCAACTTAAAGAACTGCCCTTGTTCTCTGAGATTATGTTTTAGAGGAATTTTTAAATGTTCTTAGCATTTTTAAAACTATTTCGGAGCATTTCAAACATATAAAGTAGGTAATATGGTATAAGGTCTTATCATAATAGTAGCACCCAGCTATAACAATTGTCAACTCAATCTTGTTGCATATCTTGTTATTAAGGAATATATAGTTCCTTCCTTCAGCCCTGCCTGGGAATTTTTGTAGCATATTTCACATCATATTGCAAAACTGCTTCTTTAAAAACAAAAATGACCTTATTGCAATATGAAAGCACTTATATTCCAATAACAATACACCAGTTGCTTTTAAGAATTTCATGAAATCCAGGGGCCCCTGGGTGACTCATTCAGTTAAGTGTCCGGCTTCAGCTCAGGTCGTGATCTCATAGTTTGTGAGTTCGAGCCCCGCGTTGGGCTCTGTGCTGACAGCTTGGACCCTAGAGCCTGCTTCAGTTTCTGTGTCTCCCTCTCTCTCTGCCCCTCCCCTGCTCATGCTCATGCTCTGTCTGTTAAACATAAAGGTTAAAAAAATAAGAAAAAAAAAAGAATTTCATGAAATCCAAAAATCTGTCTTGATGTGAACATCCTCATTTTCTTTACCACTGGATGAACAGAGTGGATTCCTCAGGATTCCCTGGTTTCTGGTGTTCTTTCCTAATGAAGTTCCTTCCACTAAACTCTTATATTGACAATAGAACCCAATACCTGTGGCCTTAATAAACTCTCTCTCTCTCTATCTGTCTTAAATTAAGAGGAACTTGGTCTTGCAATCTACCAACTTTTGGACTTGGCCTGTTCCTTTTGTGAAGGCAAGTGGGATAAGGTCAATTCTGATGGAGAAAATAGCTGACTCTGGGGAAACTACATCTGGGAAGCAATTTAAGGAAGCCCAAGAATGCTGGTGACTGTAGTGTGCTCTAGACAGAAGTGAGGAGGCAGCATGTCCAGAAGAGATGATGATTGTAACTTTTTTGTATTTGTGAAATTGTTTATGGTTTGGTTGAATTTTTTATGGTTTGGTTGTATGGTTTGAAGCTGATAAAGTGCTTCAAAATTCTTTAATAGGTGGGCATTTACAAGGGCAGTGCTCTGTCAAGTGGGAAGAAGGTTCATAACTGAGCCAAAGTGACTCTGCCTCCAATAACTAACTCTTTGCTAAAGTTGTCTTACATTTTTCATAGGCTGAGCTTACTCTTCAAGCTTCTGTTAGGGATTTTTTTCCCACACCAGCATCTATAGTTATAGTTTCCTAGATTCTGCCCAGGAAAAATATTTACCACTGAAGAAGTCAAGTTCATTAGACAATTCCATCAGGTTACCTCCTCTTTATTGTTTCCCTTATTCTCCTTTGCTTAGATTTTTTGCATACTCAGCATACTTGGTTTTAGCTGGAAGGAGGGGACTGGACTGTATTCTTTTCGGAAGCCTCTGACTACACCTTAGATCAGGGTCAGTAAACTATAGTTCCAGAACTAGATCAGATAACAAAACAGGGTCATTGTTTTATAAATTTTTATTAGAACAGCCATACACATTTGATATATATATTGTCTATGGCTGCCTTTCACTGACAGAGTTGAGCAACTGTGCCTGGGACTATAGGGTGTCCAAAGACTGAGGCATTTACTATCTGACCCTTCCCAGAAAGTTTGCTGACCTCTACTTTAGACTAATGATTCGCATTTAATAGACACTCACAAATATTTGTTGAAAAAAGTTTTTCCTCTTCAGATTCTAAATTAAGTTAGATCTTTCAGAAGAGTTTTCAAACCAATTGTCCCCTATATAAGTGAAATGGGTTTTCCTTTGCAGTTAGTCAAGTTGAAATTGAAGGAAACTTCTCATGGAGAAAAACGGTGCCTAGTGAGATCAAAAGTTTACATTCTTCATTCAGTCCTTGTTGGGGCTTAATTCCGGTTTCAGTTCTCTCTGGGTACTTCTGTGACCTTCATTAAGTGGTTTGGAATCCTACCCCACTTCTGACTCCAGAAAGAGTCTATGTTATTAGCTATTGTTATTATCTCTTAGGTAGAAAGGAACCGTAAAACATCTAGTTTACCTTCTAACCAAATATATAAATAATCTGTGTGATTTATCTAGCTAATACACTAATGAATGTGAGTTAGCCCTCATTTAGGTTGCATGTCCCTCTATTGGCACGGTACCCTCAGGACTGATGGAACTGAATGCTATTTATTTGGTAAGCATTCTGGGCCTGGGAAATCCTGTTGAAGTCTTAGTCATTCACCACTGAGATGATGAAGACAGCTCCAGGCTCTAGACATTTTCCTTAACTCACAGGTGTTTATGAAGATACATAAATCTGATATGCATGACTGGTCTCAAAGTGCTTCAGTGCAAATCCCAGGTGTCATTTTTCACCTCGGAACCTCCCCAAATATATATCTTTTAATGCAGCTGTTTCCTTTTCACCAGTATGTCTTCAAGCCCTCCTGTGTCACAGATTCTAGTTGACCAATGACAAGAACTCTGAGTTCAGGGAAAATTGGTGCCTAATTCTGCCTGGGGACAGTTTCTCATTGGTTGCATTGGTACATGGGCCCAACCCAAGGCTCTTGTTTCCTGCTGCTTGACTAATCCTTGCTTTCATATTGATTTCTAACTCCAGCTGTGGTCACCAGTGTTCCAACGTCACCTAGGGCCTTTACCTCTACTTCTTCAATGCCAGCACCCACGCAGAACCTCAAGCCAGGTAAACAAATGTGTTCCTTGAGCCCTGAGGTCTTCTAATGAGAGGATGTAGACCATCCAGGGCATTATGTTAAAGCAGAAGTACAATCTAGGCTGAGTGTTCTTACCTGGGTTCCAAACATGGGCTTCACAGGGTCTGTGAATACCTGTCCGAAATTGTATGCACCTTTTAACATGTAATCATTTTTAGAGAAAGGAGACTCATAGCTTTTGGTCAGATTATCCAATGCATTCATTATTAGCACCCACCCGGCCACCACCCCCCCGCCTCCCCCCCCACCCCCCCACCACCCAAAGCCAGACCTTTGATCTTAGACAACTATTGAGGGTGGAGTGGATTTGGCCCAGTTGAGCACAGGTTTGTAAGGAAAAAATAGGGAATGCCAGGGAACAGGGGCCAGGTTAATGAGATTCTGTCCTTACAAGGAGCTCTGAATAGAGATCATTTAGTACATTCTGAAGCTGGACCTCCACTTGAGGAAAGATTTCAGTAAAGTTAACATTTACTGTGTTTTCTAAGTGATAGGAACCATGCTAACTGCTTTACAAGTATTATACTGTTTAATATAATACTTATGACAATCTCTCTGCACTGTAGGTGTGATTCAATCCCATTTAATAGTTGTGAGAACTTAGGCAGAGTCTCAGTTCATTGCAGAAAGTTAAATGGATAGAAAGTACTTGAATCAGGATTCATTCTCCATTAATTTGAATTTTGGGTTTGTGCTTTTAACTACTGGATTGTTCCTTCTACCATGAGTGTTGAGTTTATGTTTGGATGAATTTGTCCTGATCTGACATCCCTCACTGAAAAATCCTTTATACGATTACCCTGTCTTCTCTAGGCATTCAATCTACTCACACAGTTTTGCTTCCAGCATCTTTTAATTTATTTATGTAGCATGGAAATGGCAAAAGATACTATTTTTTTTTTCAACGTTTTTATTTTATTTTTGGGACAGAGAGAGACAGAGCATGAATGGGGGAGGGGCAGAGAGAGAGGGAGACACAGAATCGGAAACAGGCTCCAGGCTCTGAGCCATCAGCCCAGAGCCCGACGCGGGGCTCGAACTCACGGACCGCGAGATCGTGACCTGGCTGAAGTCGGACGCTTAACTGACTGCGCCACCCAGGCGCCCCCAAAAGATACTATTTATACCGATGAAAAAGTAAACATCGGATTTAAAGACTTCAGGAATTTAGAATTTACACTTTTTTTTCCTCATTCAGGCCACAAGGTTAACACTTCAAACTTCTGATAAATAAGAGTTTAGATTTAATACAAATGAAGAATAATTTGATTTAAAGGTAGAGAAATAGCTTGCCATTCTGAGTACAAGTTTAGGTTCAAACCTTCTATCTCTAGGATTAAAAAGATAACTTTCAGTGGAGATTCTTAGAGCCTCCAAAACTCTTTGACCCCTTGGGGTAGCACTGGAATCTGAGGAGTAACAGAGATGTCACAACCTCTTAGCCAGAAAAACCTGATGGAACATATTGATTTCCCTTGACTCCTATCGAACCATATGTATATTTAATCAGGAGGGATCTGAAGGATTGGGCTGTGAGCTGAGTTTGGAAGAGAGGGCTTTAGGTTAAAACTGGGATTTTAGAGCCATAAAAGTTTGTAAGAAAAACAGCTCTGTTTGAGGCAGCTGAACATACTAGAGAATCTGTTGACTTTCTCAATATTGATTTAGCTTCATAATATTTAGTTTGTGCCTGCAAATGTGGATGGATTAGTGGACTTGGTTTGGTGAACATGCATGTTTAAAGCAAAGATTGAGAAGAAAAGTGTTGGTTCATATGTCCATGTGACCTCCTCAGGGATAGTATTAATCAAGCCTTATCCTTGTCTTGATGCTTTTCTTAAGAGTTTGAGTTGAGTTGAACAGGAAGGAGGTGCACATTGGAGCAGATCCAACATGGGGATATTTATCTTTACATCCACTCTCTTCCTGTGCTCAATGCTTCTTGTATATACAACTTGCCTAAAAAATTCATGGAATGGTTGGCTGTAAGGTTGTAGAAATGGAGGTGGGGGGGGGGTGGAGAAAGATGCCTGCTAAGACAGAAACTTGGAAAAAAAGTTAAGCCCAAGAGGTCTTTTGCACAGATCCAAGTTGAATAAAGATTCTGATCACCCAACTTTCTTATATTGTCCTGTTCTTAGTTCTTCAACAGAGCTACATGCTATTTTAGATTTGAACATTAGAGATAGGCAGGAAGATAGTTCAGAACATGAGAAAGGGTAAAGTTGAAATGTGGAGATCACTGTGGGGAAGGGAAAACAGAAAGACCAACAAAAGGCAAGAAAAGCCCAGGTTTGGGAATTCTTGTCCAGCCAGCACTAATAACTTGCTCCAAAATTTGTGGTGCTCTAAGAGGAAGGTATATAAAAATAAAATATTTAAAATATTTAATAAAATGCACAAAGAGGGAAGTGATCAATGCTGCATATAAGGTGAAATATCTGATAGAAAAGAAAGGATTGATTTTAGAAAGGAAAGGGAAACCTATCCCTGTACTGGAAAACTCTTAGTGAAGCTTTTGGTGTGAAACATAAGATGAGTCAGATAACAGGAAATCAGTCTTAAGAAAGGAGTGACCACAACGCAACAGCGGAAGGAACCAGGTCAAGGTCTACCAAGAATGTTGCTTTTAGAGTTGTTAATCATCATCAAGGTTCAGACATTGGACAATATTGTCACCTTGAAGAGACCTCAAAGAATTAAATATTTTGAGTATGTATTCTGTGCTGATATGTGGATGGATACTGGGAACTTGAATAAGGTCAGGAAATCTAGATGGCACTGTTGTGAAGGGGAAAGGGCAAATAAGCACAAACCCCCAGGCCCTGTTCCCATGAAAGTGAAATGTCATTTGTATGAATAAAAGCTTAATTGGATGTCCTACATAAGGTGCTGTTGTAGACTTTGGACATTTAGGGGGATCCTAGGAGTAGAACAAGTGTGGAATAACCCTATGTATTGATGAACTATCCGGATGATTATCTAGATCAGGTTTGTTCATGATAATGGTATGCCTAGATAGTGGTGCCATCTGTGATTAAATTTCTAAGAGGGTGTTGAAAGGACTGGAAGTGAGTGGGTGAGAGGCATGCCTTCAGGGACTGGCTGCTTCAGGGAATGGCTGCGTGAAGGTGCTGTGGGAAGTTGATCGTGATTCCTGATTTTAGTTGTGTTTTTCATTTTTGTTGGGGGTGGGAATTTTCCTCTACAGATGGAGCACAGTTCTATTCTTTTCATTCCAATAGCTACTTCATCTTCTCCAGTGCAGACAGCAGAAACCCAGCCTATAGTACCACAGGAGACGAGGACACCACAGCCCACCAGTTCACCATTGTACTCTTGCCCAAAAGGTAGCTTCATTTTTTTCCTGAACACCTGAGAGTATTCAAATTTTGATAATCACCGGCACATCGTTAAAAGCATATATTTCGGAGTAAGACAGACCTGACCTGAATGCTGATGCTGGCCACTCTAATCAGCTATGTGGTTTGAACAAATGTCTTACCTACTTAGAATCTGTTTTTATCATTTGTGAACTGGATGGAATACCAATTATCTTGTAGAATGCTGGTGAGGAACCTCAGACATAGTTAAAAAGTGGTAAGTAATAGATACAATAGCAACTCTGACTCTTACTTAGAATGTCCAGAATCCCTATTCCTGACTGGCAGAGGTGGCTTGTGTGAGTTGGGAAGCATTGACGTGCATATCACTCTTTGTCTTAATCAAATCAATCAGTCTTGACTCCAGACTTATTAGTGGGCTTGCGCCCTTGGGCCAGAGCCTTAAAACAATTAAATCCAGCTCCCTGGTATCCAGACCAAACTGGTCAACCACGTTTCTGCTTTACCTAAGACCCAGACCCTAAGTGTATCTAGGAAGCTCCCCTGTCACCCTGTGGAGCTTGTAAATGGACACTTTGAGATTAGCTGAGGACATCAGCACCAGCACCAAGAGGCATATCCTGCTGAGACTGTCTGTTTACTTCCCCAATTTTTCCCTACTGTCCCTATTCTGGGCAGGTCTCATACAATCTCTGCTTTTTTGAAATGTAAGATTCTCCTGTCTTCCCTGTGGTAGAGAAAGGTGATTTGAATCCTTTCATTTTCCCCAGTTAATTCTGTTACCCATGGTGGTAATTCTGGAGAGTGCCACACGCTGAACCCCTTTGTAATGCAGAGCTGGCTTATGTGTGCTTGTGCATGTGCTGAATCCAAACAAGGTCAAGCCTTGCAAGACTCCTCCCTTATGTGTATGACTCATTGTGCTTAGGAGTTAACAATCCGTAGCTGCCTCCCTGCCCCCCCCCCCCGTCCCCCCCGCTTTTGGCTTACCTTTTGCCAATAATTCCTGGAAGCTGGTTAATTTAAAATGGAGCTGCAGTGAGATTTACAGAGGGACCTATTCAACTGGGATTAGATAATGGTGACATTTGGTTTTGAAAGTGGAATCCTTAGTGTGAACTGTTTCCGGGCACAAAAACAAAGTGAAAATATATAGAAACACAAGGTGGCAGCAGTACGAGTGGCGGCACCCCACGCTTTTAGTGGTTGAGTAGGAAGAACATAGGAGTAGGAAATCATTTTCTAAAAATCATGTCACTACAACCTGGTCCAGGTAGAGCTTTCCAGAGTGAAACAGACATCAGAGCTGCTGTGTCCCCTATGAGTCATGTGATTGTTGCCACGTTGGCAGTGTACCTGAGGTTCTTGAGCCAAATCCTCATTGTGGGCCTGCAATGGGCTGAAGTCTCACAGAAGCAAAGAATGTTAGGTTTGGAAGGATTTTGGTGCTCATATGGCCCACCACCCACCTTAGATGGATATATGTGCCAGGAAACTGTTGTATATTATCTCACTTAATTCTTTTAAGGCAGGCCTTATTTATTGCCATTGCTAGATTAGGGAGGCCCTATAATTCTCCTTTAGAGACAGCTTCCGATTCAACGGCCAGTTATTAGCTTCAGACCTATGGGCAAGATGTTGCATTCCTCAGTGGATGTTAGTGATGATCGAAAGACATGATGTTTGGAAAGCATACTGCACACAGTGACTCTCTCCCCACCGCTCCTTCTATTGTAACATATTTAATTCGTCACAGCTAATATTTATCTAATATGGTGTTAAGTCCTTTACATGCATCATCTAATTTAGCAACTTTATGAGATGGGTGCTGCTATAGCTTGTAGTTCTATCTGTATTACAAAATAGATATTTCAAAACTCTATTAAGATTTGAATGCTCAGAACTTTAGGGAATAATATAAATAAAATCCTTTTATATAGGATTTCAGGTAGTATAAGATACATTAGTTTTATAGCTGATATAACAGATTTTTTATAAAATACTTCTGGATCAAAGTATGGGCACATTGGCATATAATGTAGGAGTTATATGCCCCTTGTTTTAGGTATCTTAGTATGTTTTACTCACATTCTGAATAAAACCAATGTAATGTCCATTCAGAATAGAGTGGTTCTGATCTTTGGATGTGCATATGGCCTTTGGGTACTCATGGCCTTTATGCCAGTTCTTAGCTGGCATAAAAAATATCGATTTCCTACCATTAAGTGGCATTCTTAACTTGCTTCCAAGAATGGGCCTCTGTGATTCCCCTAAAACTGTAAGTGAACCTTTGTGTATACATGCATTTTTTTTTCCATAAAGAAGACAAAAAGTGTCCATTTTTGAAGGGTCCATGACAAAATGGTTAAGGCACACAGCCTTCCATGATAAATTAATACATGTTAGTAACTTGGTATGACTTTTGCAATGTCTGCAGCATTTGGCCATATTATTATTCAACTTTTCATTCACCACCAGAAGGCAACGTGAATATATTTAGTGTCTGCAGTGAAAATTCAATATTTTTTGTAATTATAATTAATTTTCTTTCTTGTTGAGCAGATGGGAATGGCACTGTGACACAGTCTTCAGATGGCCTTTGGCATAGCAATCAAACTGTAAGCATATTTCTTCCTACTTCATTAGCCAGTTTCACTTGTGTGCCCCCCTGGAAGCAAGTTACATTTAGAGATTATTTCTGTAAAATTGGCCCACAGACTGATTCTTTCTGGTTGAAATTTTTAAAAAAAGGAAGAAAAGAATTTGACTCTTAAATAGGGATACTTTAATTAATTTGGAAAGTTCATACGGGTGGTGGACCAGTTTGTTAGAATTTGCCTGCTAAATGATATTACATTCTGTGTATGCATACATATACATACAAACGCCCACCACAGACTTTCTCCTGGCCAAACGTTAAGAAGAAAGAATGGTCTAATTTAAGGAGAGTGACTTAACATAATAGACCAAGGAAGACTTTAATTATCACTAGGGAAATAACATGCTTTGAATCAATGGAGTGGAGGCCACCCCAGACAAAAATATATCCGTGAAAGTGTGCTTGCTTAAGCGTATCCTCCTTCGTATTCTTTTCAAACCCAATTGCCATTCTTTATAGAAATATTGAGGCCACTATTGAGTTTTTCCATATATAAACCTCCCCATATGATGACTTTTTAAGGTATTAACATCTTACACACATTTGTGATTTTCTTACACTTTTCCACAGTGAGCTTGGGAAAACTCTAAGGGGCCCTAAAGACTCCTGATGCTTGTCAAAGTCTCATCTTTGTAAACAAGTTAGACAAATTTATCAATAGGACCTTTTCTTTTGGTTCCTCTGAGAGAAATAAGTTTTCTTTTAGTATGTGCAAATAACTCTCAGAAACAGCAAACAAAAAGAGTTTGAGGTATGAGAATAGTCCTTCTGGTCCCAAGTACTGAGAAATGACAACACAGGCCATGGTAAGAAAAACTCAGGCTCAGGCACGGTGGGATTATTTAGTGTGGGGTCAAATGGCTTTATGTTGTATACGTCAGTGACAATGAGACCATTACATAGGAGTGATATTAACATTTTTAACCACTTATGTAGCATGGGCACTGATTGACCTGATGGATGTGGGTTGAATTTGTATATACCTGCTAAATGTCAGAACTGCAACTATGTGAATGATTCTTCTATTGGTATATAGCCAGGCCTATGCTGGATTAGAAAAAAAAGTAAATAAAACATTCTGAATGGTGATATTGTTCTCGACCTCAGTTATCTGTAGGACAGGTATGTTTAGCAGCAAATGGAAGCGATTTAGAAGCAAGTCACAACAGGCAGTAGTGAAACCATGGGCTTTTTGTGTCTTGACTCTGAGGATGTTAAGAGGTATCTCAGGTATCTTGAAAACATGCAGCATGTATTTTGACCCAGTGGGTCAGCTTCCTGGACTCTATTGTAGGAGAAATTGAACAAATACATGAAGACGTATGAGAAAAGATGTTCATTGCTGCTATTTATAGTCATGAAAATAATATAAACAACTTAAATGTTCAATAGTAAGGGATTAATTACTTAGTCAGTTAAGCATGACCACATATTGCCATTAAGAATGTAGTCACTGCAGTGCATTTGCTGACATGGGAAGACAGTGACTGTTTATTGTTAAGTGAAAAAAACAACTGTTAAAACAGCATGCACACATGTGGAAATGTAGTAGCATATATTGAATATAGTAATTGTTTCTGTCAAGAAAAACACTAGGAGGATAAAATTCTAGAAGAGCAGATAATGAAAAATGGTAATAGTGGTTGTTCTTGGATGTTAGGATTATGGTTGGTTTCAGTTTTCTTTTTTCATGCTTCGCCGCACATTCTAAAATGAACATGCAGTTTTTATGTAATATTTTTGAAAATGAAAGCAAAGCCTGCCTCCTGCAGCCCCATGTTACATCTAACTACTTTACTCCCCGTTGGAAAGCTAATAACACAGCTCTTCCCTCCCAGACACTGGCCATTTCGCCTTTAAGTAAGGATGGCTCAAACACTAAGTATCTTTTCCTATCTCCCTCACAGTATTTATCAGAAAGTACCTAAAAGTACCTTTCCCAAGAACCCTACTTAATCTGTAGTTGACAGACACAGACACAGACACAGAGGCTCAGAGAGGCTAAATAACTTATCCAGGGCCACACAGCAATGAAGTCGAAGAGCTGGGATCCTGACTCCAGACATTAAACTTTTACACAAGAAGACACTTGATCCTTCTCTTATCTTCTTTTCTGTTAAAATACTTACCCTCTGGGATCTCTTTAGGATTTGAGCTAAGCTATAAAAAGTTGCTGAGCACAATGCCTGGCATATTTTGGGCTTATTCCAGGAGGTGGTGATCCTTTACAAACACGCACTAGGGTGTTTAAACAAATTTCTGCTTCTCTACCCAATTGCACAGCACTTCATGTTGGTTGTTAATGAGGGCCATGTCTGTGAGCACCTACTTTCAAGTCCATTTATGTAGACTTTCACAGACTCTTGAGTTATAGCTAAAAAAATAAAAATAAAGACTGTAATCAAGGGCCAAATTCAGTCACCGAGCATATGCAGATAACATCACCAAGCCAACTTATACACGAACAAAAATTGCTTTTTCTTTTCTAATATCATGGAGGATATATTTATGGACATAGTTTATTGGTTTTTAAAAATATGCATAATGTACATATAATAAAGTACACCCCTTTGAAACATACAGTTTGAGTTTTGACAAATGTATACCCCTATGTAAATACCACCCTATGCAAGGTATAAAACATTTCTGCCATCCCTAAATACATTTTGAATTTTAAATGGTCTTTGAATTTCACCATATGGTTACAACCTCAGATCACTTGGTCTTATCCCTCATGAGCCAGAAATAGCCAAGGGCCAATAAAGAAAATGGGTCAAAAAAAAATTAAAAGTAGATCTAGCCTATGACCCAGCAATAGCACTGCTAGGAATTTACCCAAGGGATACAGGAGTACTGATGCATAGGGGCACTTGTACCCCAATGTTTATAGCAGCACTCTCAACAATAGCCAAATTATGGAAAAAGCCTAAATGTCCATCAACTGATGGATGGATAAAGAAATTGTGGTTTATATACACAATGGAGTACTACGTGGCAATGAGAAAGAATGAAATGTGGCCCTTTGTAGCAACATGGATGGAACTGGAGAGTGTGATGCTAAGTGAAATAAGCCATACAGAGAAAAACAGATACCATATGTTTTCACTCTTATGTGGATCCTGAGAAACTTAACAGAAGACCATGGGGGAAGGGAAAGAAAAAAAAAAAAAGGTTAGAAATGGAGGGAGCCAAAACATAAGAGACTCTTAAAAACTGAGAATAAACTGAGGGTTGATGGGGGGTGGGAGGGTGGGGAGGGTGGGTGGTGGGCATTGAGGAGGGCATCTGTTGGGATGAGCACTGGGTGTTGTATGGAAACCGATTTGACAATAAATTTCATATTAAAAAAAGAAAAAAAAAAGAAAAAGAAAAAGAAAAATGGGTCCAAGTACATTATTTTAGGGAATGTCTTCTACTCGTAACTCTAACAAGATGCTTTTCTGATCCACTGATGTCTCCTTAGCATGTGTCGCTGGCACAAAATTCATGGATGACCACCAGTAAGGGACTCTACATTGGAATCTGCATTACTACTGTGGTATTGCTCACTGTGTTGGTTGTCGTGATTACCAAAAGTAAGTCATTTCAGAATTATGCCTAAGGGAACGTAGTGCAAGGGTTCTAGAGCCAAACTGCCTGAGTTCGAGTAGCTCCACACACTACGTGATTGTGATTTCACATTTTGACATAAATTTCTGTTTCGTTTTGTTTCTCTTCTTTTCTTCTCTTTTCTTTCTTTCTTTCTTTCTTTCTTTCTTTCTTTCTTTCTTTCTTAGAGAGGGAGAGAGAGAGAGGATGTGAGTGGGGGAAGAGGGACAGAGGGAGACAGAGAGAATCTTAAGCAGGCTCAATGCTCAGTGCGGAGCCCCATGTGCAGGCTTCACAGGGCTCAATCCCATGAGCTTGGGATCATGACCTGAGCTGAAATCAAGAGTCAGACACTCAACCCACTGAGCCACCCAGATGCCCCTAAATGTCTGTTTTCTTAACTGTTCTTTAAAAAATAATATTGGCCTATAAAGATGCAAATTAAATTCTACAAAGTTGAAATTAAATCTTAAGAAATGAGAATTTTGGGGGCAGGCTTGGAGTTTGGAAAGCAACAAACCATTGTAATATATACAACTTGTTCACTCCTTTTCCATTCCCCCCAGGAATCAGTTTTTGTCCTCATGAGTGATGATATTGTTGAATTTTACAACACCCATTTAACAGGAAAGGCAAATGAAACATTGGGAGGGAAACTGATTTCAGGGCTAGAAGAAAGAATTTCAAAAGGCAGTCATTCAGCTGTTGTGTACAGGGTGTGTGTGTGTGTGTGTGTGTGTGTGTGTGTGTAGCCTTCCTTCTATGAAAGAGCCACAGTCATTTATTTTTAATGAAATTTATTTATTAATAATTGCATTAAAGTAAGCCAGGGCATGTGGGTGAATACACTAAGCCATTATGAAAATGAAATACTTTTATGAGAAGTTAGTTTGGGTCTTATCGATTCAAAAGGAGTTACTTGAGTATCTAGGAAAGCACCAAGTCTGTTTTTTTTTTTCTTTTTTTTAAACATTCTTTCTTCTAAATTTATTTTTTCAGGCTCTAGCTCTGTCCAGGTTTTGTTTATAGTAAAGCAATAACAGAAATAATATACTTGTTTGAAAAAAAGATCTTGTAAACTATTTGACCAATGTGTGTAATTTTCTCTTTGGCTCTTCCCCAATTTAGAATATTTATGCGTAAGAAACAAGCTGGAACAACTAAAGTAAGTTTGAAAGTGTGTCAATAGCTTTTGGTGTTTCTACTCTGCTAAAAGTAAAGAAAAATTTGTCTCTGTCCTTCTCTTTTTCCCCTAAACTCTTCATTTTATACCCTACATCCTGAAAAATCTAGTTTAATGAATACCACTGTTGTTATCCACAACTTCTAGTGATATTTTTCACTTTCTACATTTCTCTGGAATTGTGCCAGAACTGCTACAGAAGGAGCACCCCAAGACCTCTTACCTCTTAGAGAAAGAGAACTAAATCACAAATGTTTGATAGAATGTTTGAGTAAGTTATTTGATTTGTTCTTTGATTTCATTCAGTGCTTTGTTTATTGGATGTTTATTGAATGTCTACTATATTTCAAAGAGATGAACAAAGCGGACAGAAACACATCAGCAAATAAACAGGGACCTTGCAGTGCTTCTAGACAAATATCATTGGGGATACGGAAAAAGGTAATGGGTTGAGTGAGCCCTGAAGGAACAGATGACAGCTCTGCAGAGATGTGGAAAAAGACAGCTCCAGGCTGAAGAAGTGCAAAGGCACTGTGGTGAGGCAGGTACCTCCAGCTCTACACAGGTCCTGCCTTCTCCTGCTGTTCCATTCCCAGCCAGGTGTGCTCATTTACATGGGTTATCTGGCCTCATAAACATTGGCATTTACAGTTTTTGAAAATCTATCCTACTGCCCAATTAAAACTTAAATCCCCTTTACCTGCATCCAAAACTTGGGATCATCTACTGGAATAGCTGTAATAGTAGGAAGCCAAATCCAAGTAGCTTGCTTCGTTTGATAGAGCTTGAGCTTCATTAAGCAAGGTGTTTATTTAAAATCCATTTCTCTTAGATCACCATACATTATTCCTAGCTCTCCTTCACTGGATGTTTGCACACAGCCTTTCTTAGGTCTGAGTTAATTGCATGAGCTAATCCAAAGAATGCACCTTGAACAATGCCCAACACATTGTAAGTGCTCCATAAACATTGGCTTTTGTAATTGCTGTTATGCCTGTCATGGTAAATCTACCCATGAGATAGGCACTATTATTCTCAGCTTACAAACTAGAATACAGGTTTAGAAGTGTGAAGTGACATCCAAAGTCACACCACACAGCAGGTAAAAGGCTCAATCTTAGGTCTTTTAGAGTCCCAAACCCATACTTATAGAAGTTTTTGACTGTGCGCTTCTAAGAATGGAAGAGGAAATTACTCCTAATAGGCAGAAAAGCATGGAACACAACATCCTATTAGTTGATCTTTGTTCTTTCACTATTAACTTTTTCTAAGGGCTGACTTTTTATCACCTAATCATAATAGAAAATATTTGTTGTAGAAAATCTTATAAAATATAAGAAAATTAAAACAACAAAACCCCAAGCATTTCTTCATGACTTTTTTTTTTTCTTTTCTTCTTCTTTTTCTTTTTCTTGGTTTTCACAGTTCTCATCACACTGACTCATTTTAAGTCATTGACACTTGTTCTCACAATGTATGGGTGGTCACTTAAAGATCAGAGCTGAATGAATCCTCAGTATGTTCCCTATCATTTCTCAGCAGGCTTAGGTAATAAAAATAGGCACTCTCTACAAATTATGAAACAGCAGCTGTATCAAAACTGCAAACATGAACTTTCTGTACACTTACTGTAGAAGTGTATGTGTTATGAAAGTTGTCTAACCCATGGCTTTCAAATTCGGATCATTAAAACACAGTAAGATTTCTGCACCATGATCTAGCACACGTTTATATGAAGCAATACTCTTTTACTATGTCCAATATATTCTGATATATTTTGTATTCTGTGTTTATCCTAAATGCAGGATTTAGACCACTAAATAGATTTAATAGTGCTCTCTGGAAAAGTACAACCCACAGTCAGAAAAACAGCAGCCAAACCATTTCTTAGCTACTACCCTTGAGAATATGCTTGATTTAGGACTTCAATTTGATGTGCGATACCAGTCTTAGATTTTCAATTTTTGCATTCTATTACATGAGTCTCCTGAAGGAGAATACTTAGGTTTTCTACATACTTCTTAAACAGACTCTCCTTCAACTTAATATTCACAACCCTGGATCTCCTTTTCATTTCATAGACTGTGAATGGGGCTCTGGGACTGGCAAATACCCAGTCTTGCCTGCGTGTAAACAAATGTGCTCACCATACTTTAGAAGTGGTCTGCTTTTCCTTTACTCGTGTTATTCTTTCTGTAGCTTGGTTTCGTTGAGTGACCCCCAGACTGGAGCTTTGCAAAGTGCATCTGAAGTGGGTGTGCGAGCGGAAGACAATATCTACATTATCGAGGACAATCTTTACGTCATGGATTAAGACCCAGCGGCACTCTAAGGATTTATACCCTTGACTGCAGAAGACAGTGACAAGATATCACCATGTCAGAGTTCTTTTAAGCTCTAGAATGATTTTTCTGCCAATTTCAAATGATATTCCAATATGTCAGTTATGATGAGTAGGCTGACTTTGGTTCATCTGTGTACGGTCAACCTCATTGGTCATGTAGTCCTAATTTTTTATACTACAACTGGTTCAGTATTTCTGGTCATTGCAGAGATTTCTCTCAAACACGAAGTGAACACTTTAGAATTGTGTATTCTCTTTGGACCCTATGAACCCTATATCCATCAAGAATTCTCGCTGGTGAGACAGGAGAGGAACTACTACCTTGGTCACCAAAGCTGTCAAGAAGAGTGGAGTAGGAGTTAAAGTCAGCAAATCCAATTTGGGACTTAAAGTCTTCACTTGGAATCATTTCACAATTATCTCTTGTGTTTTACCTTGTAATAACTCCAAATGTTACATTTCTTAGGTTCCCCAAGGCTTTCAAATCACAGGGGTACACAGGCTTTTATTTCCCCCATAGGGAAATAGAAGTGAATGTGATATTGCCATTGTGGGTAAATCCAATTTCTCATGGCTCTGGAAATACATGGTATTAAGCCTTTCCTTAGAACCAGGGTGGGTATTTTAGCAGTTAGAAGAAACTAGGGTAATGAGTGAACCAAGAAGATTCTCCAGGAAAGAAAATCAGTTGATTTATTACATGCTATTTCTGCTACATCTGTTCCATAGTCCCAAGCATTTGTGTAGATAATTGTCATGCTCTCTGAACTAATTTTTAGAATGAGGCAGGGCATAAATAAATAGAAGAAAAAAAAAAAAAGGAGAAGGCTAAAAGGCTTTCTGCTTTAGAAAAGTTACTTTGCAAATATAATAATGTTGTTTGAGAGTGTTACTAAGTTTCAGTCAAAATTGTCACTAAACCACTGCAATTTTTAAAATTGTTTTGGAAGGATGAAGGTTTTTTTTTTTTTTTTAATATCAAAGCAATTCCAATGCTATTCTTTTTTTTTTTTTTTCCTCACAATTCAGTGAAATTTTTGGCTTTTCCAAGAGAGTTAAACAAAGGCTAAAGGTAAGGATTTTTTAGTCAACACAGGCATTTCTACATGAACAGTTAACAAGGTTGGGTATTAATTTCAATCTGAGTAAACCCTGAAACAACTCCTGCTTGGGGTTCAGAGATACACTATAGCAGTTGAGGAAGGCAGGATGTTCATTTCTGAGGGCAACATGCTTGACATTCTTCTGCAGGGTTCTAGGAAGTTAACAGGACCTCTGAATAAAAGTTATATGGGCAAATAATATTGTTAAACATGCTATCTTGGGTTTTCCAAGTGTGGCCAAGATCTGATCTGGCCTAAGAAATTTTTTTGTTTTTGTTTTTAAACTACAGTGTTTTTCTTTCAAATTCAAGACAACATGCATAAACATGGTGAATTCAGATGAAAGCCTGAATTTGTAGCTTTTCTGGAAAGACCTTGCAACATTGGACTGCATTCCTAGGTAGTCAGGGCCCCATTAAATGGTGCTACATCCTCTCAGCCCCTAGTGCTCAACTTTCCTGCACAGACACACATTTGTCACCTGCTTTGTGACTGGGAATTTGAATTTATAACAGCTCTGCTCTCTCTACCCTTCCTGCAGATTTATGATGGCACATTCAAAGTTCTGGGAATCTGGTTAACTTTGTTAATCCAGCACTTCCAAAACTTGCTTGAACACAAGGACTACTGCCATATCCAGTTGCATTCTGTGAAACAGAATGTGAGGATGTGTGGGAAAGAAGGTGGTACACAGAATCAGGACTAGGACCTGAGTTCTACTCTTAACTCTTAACAGAAACACTGGATGCCATTAGGGCTAATCTTTCTTGATGCCTACATTTTTTAATCTATCAGGCATAATTATTCCTATAATTATGTCAGTGTATAGTGGTAATTCCAATGCTATGTTACTTGTGACAGGTCTTTGAAAAGCGGAAAACACTACAGAAATGCAAAAAGTGTTTTTTTTTTTAATTTGTTTTTATTTTTTGGTTGATTTTATAGTAATAGCAGATGTAGATTTAGTGCTCAGTAAATAATTTCAATGGTGTTGCATTCATATGTATTCTGCTATATGGTACTTTATTGGAGGGAATAATTTACTTTTTGGAAAGCTGATATAGGGTAATTGGGCTAATTTTATACTGGAGTAAAAACTGTCAATAACTGAAAGGACAAACAGGTGAGTGGGGAGGAAAGGGAGGCGTTCAGTTAATATTAAACCCTTTTTTGTGAATATATCCATCTTATAGAATGTATTGATTTGTTTTCAATCCTTTGAGATGATTGAGGTTCCATTTTCTACAAACTGTCTTGTGATGTTAGGACACTGGTGTAAGTAAGGTATTTAAACTTGGGAAATTTTGCACATCTTTAAGAAGTAGCAGAACCAATTTTTCACTAATGGCTGTGAAGATAATTCTGGGAGTACATGAAAGTATGAGGGACTCTTTGGGACTAGTTTAATTTGTATGTACACTCATTAATAAAACAGATTTTTGTTTTCATTTTGAAAATGACTTGTTGCTTTCTCAAGCTCATCTGTTGAACATGAGCCAGGCATGTTCAACTTGCTGTGGGCTCCCAGGATAAGGGAAAGTAGGGCAAGGTTTGAGAGTCAAGTGTGCCCAGTGCTCCTCTAAATACTGGGGGTAGAGCAGAGAACAACCCTGAAATCCAGTTCCTGAGAAGCTCCAATTTAGTAGGGAAGAACGCCCCAAACCATCGAATTCTAATGCGGAGGAAAAAGAGCATAATGGTAGCTAGGCTCCTCAGTTGTGACATTCGGGGCCAGATAACCCTTCATTGTGGAGGCCGTCCTGTGCATTGTAGGATATTTAGCAGCATCTCTGTCCTCTACGCACTGGAGGAGACAGCTGGGCCCCACGAGTTGTGACAATTACAATACCACCTCTGGTTGAAAGCCAACGTTAGATACCTGAAGGATGTGGCTGGTGTGGGGAATGGTGTTGCTCGGTTGGTTACGAGCTACCTCTGGGTAAGAGGTGACATTTAAGTCGAAACCAAATGAATGTGTGGGCAGCAGCCTCTTCAGGGAGTCTACCAAATGCAAAGGCCTGAATCAGGAAGAAGCCTGTGTATTAAGAGAAAGTAGGGTATGTTCTGAGGACTAGAAAAAAAAACCAAAAAAAAAAAAAACACAACAAAACCCCAAAACAACATTATGGCTGCAGCAGTGAACCAGGGGGACTAGAAAGAACTGATGCTGGAGAAATGGCCTGGTAACTGGCAAAATGCTAGGTGAAAAGGGCTCTAGGAACACATCTGTTGGAGAAGAGTCCCTTTCTTAGAAAACAAAGCACTTGTGCACATTAAGGATTAGACCTGCTATCCATCACTGAATTATATATATATTTTTCAAATGTTTATTTATTTATTTTGAAAGAGAGAGAGCAGGGGAAAGGCAGAGAGAGAGGGAGACAGGATCCCAAGCAGGCTCCACGCTGTGAGCTCGGAGCCTGACACAGGGTTAGAACCCACGAACCATGAGATCATGACCTGAGCCAAAACCAAGAGTTGGCCGCTTAACTGACTGAGCCACCCAGGTGCCCCTCCAAATTATATTTTAACGTGCATTAATGTGCTCCAGTGACATTGTTCTTAGATCAGATCTAAAAGGTTTGGGGGCACCCGGGTGGCTCGGTCGGTTAAGCATCTGACTCTTGGTTTTGGCTCGGGACATGTGATCTCACAGTTTGTGGGTTCAAGCCCTGAGCCTGCTTGGGATTCTCTGTCTCCCTCTCTCTCTCTCTGCCCCTCCACTCCCCTTCTCTCTCTCTCTTTCTCTCTCAAAATAAATAAATAAATACTAAAAAAATAAAAAAGCCAGTTTGGTTGGGGTAACAAAACAAGGGGAAGGAGAAGGGAAGGGGGGTACATCCTGGCAGTGAGGGGCTTTCCACAGGGCTGTGTGAGGGCACCCAGGCCCAGCAAGAGAAGTCCTGGAAGAACAGGGCTAGGGTGTCATTGCAGCGTTCAGTAGAAGGTGGTGCAGGGATGCCTTCGGTTGGCCCACAGTGGATTTTTAAACTAGTTTTGATGTGCACTTTTAGGCAACAGTGCATTAGAACCATGACTTAATGGATATTGTTTAGGATGACTAAAATTTTAAAGTTAATTAATCTAAAACAACTTGAGTGAACAAGAGCCAGACACCAGTGTGAGTTTAGCAAAGGTCATGCAGACGCATGAAGTCAGGGAAGCAACAGGTTAGATCAGCTGGGAGGTAGTTCAAATACAGACTCCTGGGCCCCCCTCCTAGAGATTATGATTTGTAAGACGGGTGGGACCTAAGAGTTTATTTTTTGTTTGTTTAAATTACAGAAGACAAGCTACTACAGATTATTTTACATTTCAACCAAAATATTCAGATTTCCTGAAAGATATGTAGAAATAAGAGCAGGTAATCTTCCTTCATTTCTACTTCTTTCTTTCCTTTTTTAAAGTTTATTTAATTTGAGAGAGAGAGAGATAGAGAGAGAGAGGGAGCACAAACAGGGGAGGGTCAGAGAGAAGGAGAGACAGAATCCCAAGCAGGCCCCACACCATCAGTGCAGAACCCGATGTGGGGCTTGAACTCACAAACTGCGAGATCTTGACCTGAGCTGAGATCAAGAGATGGATGCTTAACTGACTGCACCACCCAGGCACCCCATTTCTACTTATTTCTAAAGTGAATCTCGGGAAATGAAGATGGAAACCTTATATTTAGAGTGGGTGGGTATTTTCATGCCAGTTTTGAAGACAAACAAAATTTCTCAGAGTCCCCCGATGTAGGGAAGATGCATTTATCCCCTGCATTTCATAGCCTGGTTTGTGCAGAATTGTTTCTTCTGGGTTCAAAAGTGCTCTCTAGAAGGAAAGAAATAGCAATTGATCATTTGTTCTTCCTCTGATCAAGTTTCTTTATCAGTTGGTTGTGGACCACTTTGGGTACACGTCCTCCCAAGACTTGGTTTCTTCTTTGACTCTTGATGACACCAGATTATCTGAGGAAATATAACAGAGGGGCATTCCTCACCCCGCTGCAAAGGCGATGACAGGTAGCACAAATAAGTAGCTTTGATGTGGAACATGAGCATGGTGTCTGTAGGCCTGTGGGAGAGTCTAATAATTAGGACCCCCAGGAATCTAATTGCAAGGTTCCCTTGGGGATTGTCAAGGGCCCTTCCAACTCTGACTTGTAATCATCGGTTACCAATTGTGTCTTCCCACTCCTTCCGTCCCTTCCCCCACACGGCCATCGGGATAATCTAAAGAACCAAGATCTGATTGTGTAAAGTGTGAACTGAAAAGCTCCCACTGCTCTCTGGTGGGTAAAAGTTTGTAAT